CAACCGTCCCTCGGCATCGGTATGCACAAGGTCCACCTTCGCATCTAGAGTCCGCTTCACCAGCAAAGACACTCCTCTGGCAGTTCGGTCCCCATATGCTGAATAGACGACAAAGTCGTTAGACAGCACACACGCATCGGAACTGCAAACAAAGTGGGTCTCTTCGATCGCGGCAACATCCACGCCGAACGACAGGAGATCCCGGAGCAGGCGGGCCGCCTTACCCCGATCCCTCAAGCCATTCACATTCAGCGTCGCTATCTTGACAGACATGGTTTAGGCCTGCAAAAAAAAAGAAAAAAAAAAACATGCAAAAAGCCTACTCACATACCGGGCGGAAATCTGCGCTGGTAAGGACCCCGACGGCCTGTCCCAGGTTTCCGGTTCCCAATTCGGTCGTCATACGACCGTCCAGGACAATGCCGCCGACGTCCGTGGGATAGGTTAGTTTTACTGCCCTATATAATGAGGGATGGAGCAAAACGGGGACCCTCCCAGCACAAAAAGTTCTTTAATTTTTTCAATGAGGAATTGTCCGTTTCCACGATTCTGATTTCAGGGAAGGCTTCTTTTTTCTTCGAAGATGTGGTTCCACACCTTCAAGTAAGCCCCCTTCTCCCTCACACAGGTTATTACGCCGGGGGCCTGAGGGAAATTTCTGGGGTCCTCGATACTTTTGCCATCCACGGAGTCCATCTTATATAGTCCCCCGAGAATGGCTTTTCTTTGCTTCGACAGGCCCCATTTAAAATCGTTTCTGTCCACCTTGCAAATGGATTCGGGGCCAGCGAACATCTTTTTCTTCTTTTTCTCTCTGGAAGGGTGGGGAGGGGAAGAGGTCGATGTGTTGGGTGGGGTGGCCGATGCGTCTAGGGAGGCGGAAGTGGAGGAGAGGGGTTGGAGCACGGGACGGGGAGGAAGGGTGGCTCCTAGGTTTGGTCGAAGCCACCGATCTTCTTGGTGAAGCAGGGACGGAGAGCGACCTGGATCTCTCCATGCCTTCCTCCGCCCTGCTACTGAAAGACTGTTTTTGTGTGCGTTTGGTTTCCTCCTCCTCGTCGTCGTCTTCCTCCCTGCACCTTTTCAGGGATGAAGCACGAGGTGGAGGTATTTTGTCCACCTCCATCTGCTCATTCTCTTGTTGTTGCTGCTGCTGCTGATCTTTTTGCTGTTTCAGTTGTTTCTGTTGTTTTCTCTGTTTAGGCTGGTGCTGCTGTTGTTGTTGTTGTTGTTGTTGTTTTTTGGGCTGCTGCTGCTGGCGTTCCTCTGTTGACTGCAGCCCTTCCTCTTGTATTGGTACAACCTTTTCAGGCTGAGGCATCTCTGTTTGGGGGGTGAAGACAGAAACTTTCGGAGACTTCCTACCTCTGACTACCTCCTTCCTCTCCCCTCAGATTTGGAAGTCCCCTCCCCCGGTTCACTAGGTGGTACTGGTTTCGCTGTTGTCGGTGTCGGTCGTGGTGCAACTTGTGTGCCCTTTTTTGCTGGGGCACTCCTTCGCCATGTGGCCCGACACACCACATGACCAACACCAAGGCTTTCTGCCTTCCACCACGACCAGCATCCTTCTGTCTCGGCAGGTGAGCGTGTTGGGGACGTCCTTGAAGGCCGCTCTGTTCAGGGTTATCTGAACTTCAATGTCTCCGTCTCTATTCCGGATCTACTTCTGAGGGCCTTCACTTCGTTCACCTCTCCATATTTGGTGAAGAAGGCCCCATCCGGTCCTCGGAGATATCCACGGGCACCCCGTGAACGGTCACTTTGTCCTGCGGGTGCCCATGTATTCAGTTTGCAGTCTTAAGTTTTTGGTACTTAAGGTTCTGCCGGCCAACTCCTTGGCTTGCTGTTCATTCTGTAGAAGGATGTCCCATAAGGCATTCGTCCTTCTTGCTAGCACCTTCGGGCTAATCTGCAGAGCCTTCAGGGCCTCCTCCATACATTCCCTGCTTACTCCAACCAACTTCCGCGTTTTAATGTCGGAAGTCAGCAAGGAAATCGTACGCGGCTCCACTGCGTTCAGAGCCTCCTTAATCGTGAGGAACTCATTTCCATTAAAAGTTGCCTCGAATTTTTCTCTTTGATTGGCATAAAATGTGCCATCCTTTTGGAGCGGCCTATTTTGTGACCAGGCCGATTGGACAGGCGACACCGTTTCTGGAACCGGTGTCGCCGGAATGTCTATGTTGTCATTATCGACCATGGTGGAAACTCCACCACAGTCTAACGGTTTAAAAACTTTTCAAATGTTTTTTTTTTTTTTTTTTTTTCTTTGTTTGGACAAGATATTATTTAAGAACAAAATAAATAAAATAAAATTACAAAACGAAGGGGGCAAACCAAAGACAATAATAGTTTCAACAACAAAAGAAAAACTTCAAATTAAAACCGGGAGGGGTATAAAAAACGAGAAAGAATCAAAAATGCCGAGTCAACAAAAGAGAATAAGAAAATAAAGAGAGAAACGAAAAATAAAAAGACTTTTTGAAAATAAAAAGTAACAAAGGAAAAAACTTATCTGTTTACGTTGTCCAAGAAATCTCTGGCGAAAACAAAGTCAATGCAAAAGTTCTTTTTTTTTTTTTTTTTTTTTTTTTTTTTTTTTTTTTTTTTTTTTTTTTCCTACTTGCCTTGTGCCAAACAATGTCCAAATTGGTAAATAAATCCAGGAAATTAAAAACAGTGATCCAAGTAAGGTAATCCAAAAAGCTGGTAAGAACAGATACTACACTTCGATCTTTAAAATCCAAAAACCATAAACACTCTGATCTAGGCCTGCGGGCCGAGCAGCTAAGATTTATTTTGTAAAATTACAAAATTGTGGCACAAGGCCAAAAAGGGGGAGGGGGTAAGGCTGGTCTTCACTAACTATCTTATACCTAGCTAATTTGATTCACGACCCATTCAGACATTACAATTTGCTCATTCACCATAAGAACTCGTCCATCATCAGTCAATCCTCCTTGCACCATAATACCACATCCACTCTAGGGAGACTTACAAAACGCGCCCCATGTCATAATGATCCTAACACATATGTACAAAAATTCTAAGATGAAAAAATGAAATGGGGGTGGGATGTGAACCCAATAACAAACTAAAATATTAACATAAATGAAAATAAAACGTTAACTGATGTTAGTAGGGCCCTTCCAACCCTCAAAATGCAGGGAGACCACTGTATTCTGCCCACTGGAACAAAATCAAGCAGCTCTCTCGCTAAGGGAGTGGGAAAGGTGATAAAAAAAAAAAATCATACGGGCATGGGGAAGTATAAAGCTGACCCAGTCGAGATAGAAAGTGGGGGATCAAAAAACAAACTGGGGAGGTTGGGAATCTCAGGCTGGATCATAACTAAAGATGTGGCCGGGGGCAGGCCGGGAACAACACTTACTCGCATTAACTAGGTACACCAAGGCTTGTCTAACCTAACCAAGGGGAGGGCACCACAGGAAGCCACCCCGATGTAACGTAGGCTTGACCTAAAACAGAAAATCAAGGCTAGCCCCGTTCACACGAACCAAGCTCGCCTCAGTCACCCACCTTTCGCTGAAGACTGTCGAATGCAAGCGTTTTCTATCAGTTCTGATCTTCATCTTGAGCTGATGCTCAAAGAATCGATTCAGATCCTGATGAGAAAGACGGGTACCTCGCAAGACTTCCTCCTCTCGCGTCGTCCATATCACCATTCGGGCCGTGGCTAGCAGCATGAGAAACACCATCCGTTTCACCCCGGAATACAGGGGCGACACATTGTCACACGCGTATGCGCGATCCATGGGCACAAGCTTTTCGGGAGCGAGACGAGCCGTCAGCTCGCCGACATGGTCCCATAAGGGGCGGACACGGGGGCAATGGAAGAAGGCGTGCGAAGCCGTTTCCTCTAGACCAAGGCCGCACCGTTCACAGTCTGGCAAATCCGCCAAACCCCATATGAAGGCCATGTCGTTGAGAGGCAGCCGATTCCGAGCCAGTCGCCAGGTAAGCGAAAACTCAGGGTTACTGAGGTAATCCGCCGCTGGCGCCCAAGACCAGTGAGAGCGAAACTCATCCTCCGACATGTCGAGATCCTTACGTAGGGGATCCTTCGCGACCCCCCACTAGCAAACGATAGAAGACCTTCCTAGGCCGAGAAAGGTCACTGGACCAAGGGACAGCCAACAAGGCCGACCGACACTCGCGAAAGAAATCCGATTGAACCCGGGTTTTACGACGGCGATCCACCCGCCAGATTGGGGACTGATGGTAAGGCGAGGGAAGGCGGCCCTCACAATCCCCTCAATAATCGGATCTCTACCTGTCAAAGCGCGGCGTAGGAAAGCCAACCTCGAGGCACGTTTGTGGCTCAGCAAGTGTGGCATTCCCAGCCCCCATGACACGGACGTTGTGCACAGACTTCTCTGTCGACCTGATTCGCGCGTCTCCTCCACAGAATGGAGGTTAGCGCGCGCTCGAGCGGTATCCTGTGGTCGTCACAGAGAGGAAGTACGGACAATCGATAAAGGACAAGAGGGAAAATGTATGTAGCACACACCTCCGCCCTGCCCTTCACGGACAACCTCCGTCGACGCCAAGTCTGACCGGCGGCGTAGACCTTTGCTCGTACTTCAGACCAATTCTTCTCCAGCTGGAGGTCGGGTCCAAACCACACTCCGAGAATGCGGACAGGACCGTCCGTCCAACCGAAGGGCCCCGGAAGATCGACCCCTTCCAGGCGCCTAACCGCAAGCCGGACGACTTGTCGCGGTTAATCTTGGCCCCTGTCACCTTTTCGTACCGATCAAGCGCCTTCTGTACTGCCGATGTTTGAAAGAGCGCTGCATAATCCGATGCTCACGAGGTACGGTTTGGCATCAACGATATTGGACTAGTCTTCCGGTTTTCGCATGTTGCTTGACCTAAATCTGCGAGATCAGGGTTGTGAAGGTCAAGGTCGGCTTTCTAAGGAGCGGCTAATCGGCGACCACGACAAGGCCCTTCTCCTAGAAAATTGATCATATCAATTAATAATAATAATATTTACGAAGGTCTTTAGGGAAAGTGACCTTCCTACCGGATCTGGTCTGCTGCACAGAAGTCGCTGGGGTGTCGTCCGATGTCTGCGGTGCTGCGTGTGCCGGGTGCGCTGGAATAGCATTAGGGGGCCGCAGAGCCGGGTTTGCGTCATAATGTCGCTTCTCCAGAAAAGCAGGCTTGGTCCGATCGATCGCGACGGTTTCGGTCGAGTTGGCGCAATGACTAAGACGGGAGTCGGTGAATGTTACATCTTGAAACTTGGTGATTACTGCTCCTTGAAAGGTTCACACGTTTTCTGTTTATATAATCACTGGGTGGCTCGCAGCATATGAGCGGGAAAACAGCTTGGTCGCGTGCAGGCGGTTTGATTGGTCGGAACTGACCAATCAGCAAGCCAGTTTGGAGGTGATTGACCAATGAATACTTGTTATATTGTCTGAAGGTAGAATTTGGCTTACTAGATAGGAAGAGTGTATTTCCTACAAAGAGGTAAGGCTGTTTGTGTTGTGGGAGATTCTACACTACAACTGGACATATAAAATCTTTTTTGTTGTTAAGCAGACTTTCTTTCAAATTTGTATAATTTTTTTTTTTTCTAATTCTAAAAAGGCATTAAGTTCATCAGCAATTTGATTTCTAACAGTACTGGAGGTTTTTTTTATATTCCTTTGAACAGCTGAGGGTGTTGGTATTTGACTACTTGGCACACCTGGCCATACAGATGGTGGATTTTTTGGACGTATTTTTCCATTAACTTTTATGGAATCAAAATTTGAAGGCCAATGTTGTTTACTTTAAAACTTTATATTAAATTTAAAAACATTCATAAGTAGCCTTTAGTTTGGTTATTTTAATATATAAATAGGAATATATATATAACTTTTTTTTTTACCTTAAAGCAAAACAATTAAAAGTAAAGTAAAAATAATGCATTTTGTCCTCTAACAATAATATCAGAAAAATATTAAAATAAATATAAATAAAATGATATTATTATACTTGTCTTGTAAAATAAATTTTGTAGTCAAAAGGCGTAAAAAAGGAGTCCTTTCTAAAAAAAAAATAATTAAAATATTGACATTAACTACATGTAATAAATTTATTATTGTTATTTTTTTCTTTAATTCTAATAAGTAAAAAAATACTTATCGTTCACCAATTGGTAACTAATGTAGTAAAAATAATCATTTATTCTTTAACTTCGGAAACAAAAGCGCGAAAAAATTCGTTTGTTTTGTTTTTTTACTTTTAATGGAAATGTTGGATAAAGTTTAAATAGAGAAATGTTAATGAACCTTTCTCTATTAAAATTTTATTCAAATTTATTATTCAAACTTAAACTTTTAATAGAAAAATGTTGACTTATGCTAATTTTTTATCGTGGTTAAAAACTTGAGAAAATTAAACTTTAATTTCGTTGACGTTGTTTTCACTCATAAACAATGTTTTGTTTTAGCGATATCAAAAATAAATATCAAATTTAAGTAATGACATTGAATTTATGAAAAAAACAAAAACATTTTTAATTCATTTTAATAAAAATAGTTTTCTTTACGTCTTTGAAGAAATTAAATTCTGTTCAAATTTGTTAAACGTTGTTTTGTTTTGCTTCTTAAAATAACACAAATTTCTCAAAAAGAATTGCATTTTATCAATAAATAATTCTTTAAACTTTAATCAAAAAATGTTGAACAAACTTTAAGAGGGAAAATGCCAAAAATGAATTAAACTTTAATTTAAAAATGTTAAGGCTTTTTAAACTTAAGTAAATCTTTTTGTGCGAGTAAATTTAAGCACCAAAGTTTACTTTTTACAATATTTTAAATATAAATAATGTATGGACTCAAACTAAAATAATCAAATATACTTACTTCAAATAAATAAGTTAAATAATATTCCAACCAAAGGTAAAATTAAAAGATTCCTTTGAATTTCTCGAGCCAACAACATAAGAGTACACAGTACGCAGCAGTTCGCCCAAACTTAAACTAAAACGATCTAATTGTCAGCCGGCCTCCAGTCTATCGAGGTAGCAGCGCTACGCAGAGGCCTGTTAATATAGAACGCCATGCTTAGAACCCAATATTCTCATTAATGGATCCAGGCTGGAGGTAATTGACACTTTTGTATACTTAGGAAATGCACTCTCTGGGGATGTCTTACTGGCCACATTGAACGAGCAAGTCAAGTATTCAGAAAACTTGAAAAGACAGTATGGTCTGATCATAACATCTCATTAAGCACAAAAATTGGCATTTATGAGACAGTTGTCCTAACCACCCTTTTATATTCATCTAAAATGTGGACCACCTATCAAAGGTACATTTTAAAATGTTTTCACTAGCAGTCTTGTACACCAGACACAAAAGTCACTCAATGCAAAAATATATCCAGCATAGAGAAACTGTTTTGGTGTAATCAAACACACTGGACAGATCATCTAACATGAATGGAGGATGATAGATTGCCCAAAAGATCTTTTTATGGTGAGCTGGTACAAGGGAATTGCCCTGCTCATAAGTCCATAAAATGTTTCAAGGATGTTGTTAAATGTAATCTAAAGATTCATGATGTTAATGTTGAGGACTGGGAAACTGTTGCTGGAGATAGATCTGGTTAGCGAAGGCTGATGTAGGAATGCAGCAACAATTCTGAAAAGAAGAGAGTTGAGCATTCCAACAAAAAGTGCACCATTATGAAGGGAGAAATAAAATTTGTCTAGGAGCTATTAAGGCATCAGCATACATGCAGTATTTGCGGAAAAAGTACCCTCTCAGTTTAACCAGTCACATGAGATCACACCAAAGAGGTCAGGTGTAAACTCCTGTGAATGCAAACCGACCAGCAAGACCTGCAGGTTACTTGTGTGAATTTTATGACAAGGTTTGAAAGTCTGTTGCAGGACTCAAGCGTCACATAATTGTACACAGAGACAGGCAAGTTTTCATCACGTTTACCATGAATGTAAGAGAGGTTGTAAAAGTGAAGCTGTTCTTAAGAATCACTTAAGGGCCTATAGCAGAGTGTTAGCTCAGGTATAAATGATGGAAATAAAAAAATTTTGAATGAAAAACTCAAAAAGCTACCAAGTGAAGAGATAGTCTTCTTCTGTGACAAAGTGACACACACACACATATATATATATATATATATATATATATACACACACATTAGACATATATATATATATATATATTAGACATTCATTCCACATTCCAGATTCCTCTGTCACACCCACAGAAAAGAGTACCATTCAAAGACTGGACTGTTAACCCACTTATATATTTATAAAGAAGATTCAAGGATTTTGTGGAGCTTCCCAAAAAGTGGACTGATGCTGGAGTCAGTGCATCAAATCAAGAACCACTAGGCAGAGATGTGCTCAAAAATGGGTTACAAATGTTGTATTCCTAGTGACAAAGCACTTGCAAACCAGAGACAATATCAGAAGTGCTGAATGTAAAAAGAACTGGATTGTTGTTTAATGGCTTAATGCTTTTATTCACTAGTAATGAATTAAAGCACATTTCTCTCACCCTCATGTTTAATTCCTCTATCAAATTTGCAACAATGTCAGCTACTTTTCTCTGTATTATCATGTGTGAGAGACTGACATTTTGGAATATCCTCCTTTTCTTTGAAGATAATCCTCACACAGAAGTGAGTACACATCTCTTGATGATGCTCCTTCTGTGAAAGATTTCCTAGTGACAGCAATTTCTATAGAAATTGAAAATTTTTCATGTTACTGTTAAATGGCCAATATAGAAAATTTTCTGTATTGTCTACTTTGAAAAGCCTCTGTTCCTTGTCAAGATTTTTCACCAAATTTGTTGCTGTAATATACTTTTCAAGCGAGTTGCTTTGCATAAATCTGGTGCTTACTTTCAAAGTGCTGCCTCACACTGTATTCTTTGGGAATTAATACTGTTTCAAGGAAGATTATCTTGTTACTGAAAGACTGAAAAATATTTGTCCAATCAGAATTAAAAGGTCCTATGCTAAGATTCTATCTTTTTGCTTTATTCTCCTCATAGTATATAAGATATTTCAAAAATTCAAAGGAAAATCAGAAGAAATGTTCAAATATTTTTAAAAATTGAAAGAAAAATCATGACAAATATCCACATAAAATATCCATGAAAATCCTAAGAAAAGTCATTAGAAATTTTCACCGAAAAAATATTCATAGGTGGAAAAATAACATGATGAAAACAATGAACTCAGGAAAAGGAAATCCTAATAAATATTTCTTCTTACTCATCTGTCATCATTTTTCTCATCTGTTTAGAGACAGATGAGAAAAATTTAAGGTGAGAAATATTAAAACTGCATAGCCAACAAAGATTTGTCGTACACCTTTGGTTACTGTTGGACCAGATGAATGAAAGAAAAATGGATTTGAGGAACCTGAGAGATGCCTGAAGAGAAGAGGAGATGTATAAAATGCCTCTCTTTTTAATATATTAACTCAATATTTCATAAACTGAGATAAAAATTAGATAGATTTGAAATATAGATATGAAAAAAGGTAACATATTTTTAAAAGAAATCAACAAAACAATAAATTTAAAATAGCATAAAAATATGGGATATGAGTGAGTTTTTCTAAAACTTTTAATTTCTACAACACAATGGATTTTAAATAAATTACCAAAAATTGAAAAGATCAAAAATATAAGCCCAAATGATTGAATCAATCAACTACCATTTTTATCTTACTTAATACATTTTGACAGTTAACTTTTCTGCATTGTTGCTTTTTAAAAAACTTTTTGAAAATAATGTAGTTTTTACTTGTTTTTTTTTTTTTTGTGCTTTTTCGTTTGTTTTTTTTTACTTTACAAGCCGTATTTTGTGAAGGTCTGACATACATACTATGTCTTATTAATTAATTAAATTTTTGTATGCTGCTTTCCTATACATGTGTCAATCTGAGATTATGACACAAAAAGAGATTGTTGATTTACTGTTTGCAATTCAATAATATTGCCTAAATGTAAAATGCAATTCCATTTTGACAAATATTACTTGAAAAACATCTTAAAATGCTCATTTATTGGAATTTAGTCTGAAGAAAGGACATTAAGAATTATATTTTTTGATAAATTTCCTATGAGAATTCTTCAGGTAGGGTATTAGATTTGATTCATTTAGTTTTTATATAATTTCTGATAATGTTTGATAAATAAGCAATATTACAACATTTGCTTGGTGTATACAAACTGTATCAATCTTATTTTGTATTTTAATCTTTTAAGACATGATTTTTTACATTAAAATATGTTTTCTTGATATGCTAATAAGTGTGTTTTCTGTTAGTCCATCTCAAGTTAAACTGACTAGATAACAATTCTTGTCAAACATAAAACATCTTGTAGACTTTCTTTTAAATTGAGCTTCATTACTATGCTCCCTAGTCAGGCATCAACACAACTGCTTATTGTTAAAATTGCATCTGCTGATAACAACTCGGATTAGATCCCCAGTTCTCTTAAGGTAGCATTGTGGTAGAGGTTGAATAGATCTGGGGAGAAGACACATCCTTGACTCATGCCTCTTTCTATTTTTGTATAGCTACTCAATTCATTTTCTGTCCATATGTGGGTGGTTTGCTCCTAGTATTTCTGGATTATTCTAATATCTTTTCCAAATAGATCTAGTTTTCCTAGCAGTTCAATCCTTGTGTCTCACCTGTAAATAACCATTGATCTCAATGAAAAAGTTCCATGATTCATACTGATGTTATCCTTTTATTTAGCAAATACACCATGAAAACTGGAAACAACAAAAATATCTCTTAAAATAGGAAATTTCAAAGAAATACACAAACAATGGAAGCCATTTTCAAACAAAAAATAATAACAATTTGAAAGAAACATGATAAAAGGACACATAGTGTCTTAGAGGAGAATTTCAGACAGTAGTAGGGACACATAATTACCATGTTGCCTTTTTGAACGACAGCATCTAAAAAAAAAATGGTAATTTCTTTACCCCTGAGGGGTCAAATGACAGAATAGAAGACTTGCAGAAATTATGGCTAAACACATGTATGTATAAACGTTTATTTTCATATTTTTACAGAATATTAAAAATTATTCACATAATTTTAAAGCTAATACTATTATTGCTACTATTACTAGCATACTAAGTAGCAAAATCTCTAAGCCAGAGAACAAATATACTGGTCTCTTCAGTGATCATTACAGTAACTTGTCAAACGTTTTTGCATAATCTATAAAACACAAGTGCACATCCTTCTGCATTTGTATTATTCTTTCTGATATCATTCTCATCATAAATATTGCATTTCTTGTTCCAGTGTCCATGATAAATTGCACTGTTCTTGTCTTATTTCTGGTCTAATTTTGTTTTTCACTCTCTTCATCAGAATTTGAATCATTAGTTTGGTTATATTAAACTTATTGTTCAATGAAGGTCGCATTACCTGGTCTCTTAGGTAATGTTATGAAGATGGATTTAGTGTGGTTCTCAGATATGCAGCCACTGTTGTATATTTCATTTATTACTTCTGTATTCTTGTTGTTATATTCCGTATTTAGTTACGTGGGCGATGTGAAATCAATGTGGGCGAAATACTGCGTTTGGTTGCAAACAATGGAATTCAGAATCGAAAGAAAAAGAAAGATTTTTATATATTTTATAATCTCTTTTAGTGAGGAAAATAAGAACAAGTAAAAAGTTCGTATTTAAGAAGTTGAGGGAAAGGTACCCTTTGACAAGGCGTCGGACGAGAGTTCATTAGCAGCAGCAGTCACATGCTTCGTTTCGTCGCCGGGCCAGTGTGTCAGGAGCGAGCGACGTGACCCTTCTGCCTCCGCCGTTGAGTGGCACCCCTTTTGACTTTCCCGTGTTGAAATTATACACGCCTATCGGCTCCAAATGGCATTTTTTTTAATACACGGGAGACGGTCCGATTGGTTGATTTAATTCTTTTCATTTTTTTTTTTCGAGTTTATCCCAAACGGAAGTATCTGCGTCGAGCCTATGCGTAGACGTGTAGTTTTCATTTCGAGTCGGGGACTCGTGATGGTAACTTCCGTTTATCGAAGCAGGGCAAGATCTCATCTTGTAACAGCTCCCCGAGATCTTACCCTGATTTGATGTTTTGTTAGTAATGTTGTTGGTGTGTGCGAATGAATGTTTTTTTTTTTTTTTTTTGTTTTATAGCCCATTACGAAGTCTTGGAAGCGTGCTGGGAGTTGCCCGTGTTTTCCGTTTTTGCTGTGTTTTGGCTATTATTGCCGGAACTGCAGTCATCTGTGATATGATGCCCCCTGGCGAAAGTGTAGGAGGCCGTGTCAACGGGTTATGGGGGATTTGGTGGAGCGGAGATGGGGGTGGGGGTGGAGGTGACCGGCTCATGTATTGCAAGCCGACGAATATGTCCCCGGTGGACCCAATCGGTTTCGCCGTTTTTGTTTTTGACTTGGAGCACCATATCGTTAGTTCTGGTGACTTCGAAGTCGCCTATCCAAGGCAGATGTGATGAGTGGGCTATTGTGGACTGAGGTCGGTAGAGTAGCACCTTGTCGCCGACCTGTATCGGGTCCTGAAAATCTTATGGTTCAGTTTGGCTTCTATTCTGTGGTCAGCCTCGTTGTTTGCCAGAGCAACTCTTTGGTGTACCTGTCGGAGCAGGGCGTTTATCTGCATGCCGTAAGCACCAGGATTGTTGTTGATGATATCTTGACGTGGTATCTTTGGTAGTCCGATATGTGGTTGACGACCAGTGATTATGTAATGTGGAGATGCGCCGGTGGCGGTGTTGGCCGTGGCATTCATGGAGGAAACTACGGATTCAAGGACGTCCGTCCATTCACAGTTTCTATCTTCGCAGATGATGTAGAGGGCGTTTTGAGGGTCCGGTGTTGCCGTTCGATGTTTCCCGAACTTTGTGGTCGCCATGGACAGTGAAGTTCCCGAGTGATCGATGTTATGTCGCAGAAATCCTTGTAGACCTCGCCGGTGAAGTGGGTTCCTCGGTCGGAGGACACGATGCGGGGAATCTCCCGATGACGGAGGAAGAACTGGTAGAGCCCGCGGGCTGCGTCGATTGCACGGTCTCTAGCACATGGTATGGCCATGAGATGTCGGCTGAAGCTGTCTAAGATAGTGAGAATGTACCGTTTACCCTTTGAGAGGGGCATTGAGACAAAATCTATGTAGACAACCTCGAATGGTTTTCTGCCTCGCCTACAATGGCCCATGGGCCAGTTTGGGTGCCTGCCGTAATTCCCCTTACGTTTAGCGCAGGTTTGGCATGAATGGACGTACGCCTTGATGTCGCGATTTTTATATTCCGCCAGTAACTGGATAGGTGTTCCTGCATGCGGCTGATTCCAGAGTGGTTTACACAGTCATGAGCCTGGTGGAGATATTTTGCGCGGAGCTTGTAAGGTACCACCAGCTTGGGTGTGTTCGCACGTCCCTGATCATTAGTACAGACGTTCCCGGTTCCAAGTAGAATTGATGCATGAGTTTGTTGAAAAGTGCAGTGCGATGATCGTATGGTAGTGTCAGGTCTTGGATCTGTCGACTGGAGGGCTCTGATGATTTTTGAAAGTGTATCATCAGAGGATTGTTCGGCCGCAATACCCATGTGGTCGGCGATCTCTTTAACAGGGATGGTGGACGTAGTGTGAAAAGCGAAGAATGCATCGGCGTTGTGTGGATCACTGTCTTCTCCGGGTAAGGTGGTATCAGTGGTCGCTATGTGAGCTTGAGCGTGGGGAGGGTGAAAATAGGGACATCTGTTACCCTTGAAGCATGTACGGCCTTGTAGATAGTTTCTGCATACTGCCGGGTGGCCGGATTGGCCAGTGCCTCTTTGCGTCCGGCTGTGCTTCATGTTGGAGGAGGGGCCGGTCTGATTGTTCCTGTTGATGGTGGTTGGGTCGCGCCTGTGCGCCTGCCGTAGTTGCTCGTTCAGGTCCATCAATTGTCGCTTTACGTCGGCTAGTATTCTGTCACTTTCAAGGCTGTGAGGCTTGCCGGAGTTTGCAGGTTGGCTCGCAATCAATGCGGTTGTTTCAACGGAGGTGGTCATGTCTGTTTTGATTCCGCGATCGAGAAAGCGTTGCGCATCGCTGGCAATACCACCCGCTGAGTAGTGTCTATCCATGGTTTTGACGAGGTGTGGATAAATGTTGGGTGCCCATGCCTTGATTCTTTCGCTCATGAGCATGGCCCCCATTAGGGAGAAAGCGGTGTCGGCCGTCATCTCGGCATTTTGTTTGTCCAACTTGAATCTCGCCTTGATGTGGACTGTGGCCTCTCGGATTGTGTTCTCAAGTCGGCCTGCAAAATCAGTGAATTTCTCCCCGTCACAGCGCTGGAGGTCCCATGCCCGACTCAGATGTTGGAAATTCGTCATCTGGTTCCCGTGAGTGGAGACGAGGTAAGTTTTCAGTTCCTCGAACGTGGCTGTGGATTGTTTTGAGTCTTCCATCTGCTGGAAGATGCCTTCGTTAAGGAGTTGTTTTGCCAGTTTGACGAATTCTTTCTCCATCTCGGGGTATTCGCTCAACTCTGGCTTAACGTGTATCGTGTAAGCTTTGCTGAGGTCGGTGATAAAGCGGTTGACGTCATTGCCTGGTTCGAAGGCCCGGATGGATTCATGTAGCGTCCTGAAGTGATTGCTATCGCATTAATAGTTCGTAGTTTGTGGCGTATCGCGGTGAGTGTGAGCGATCATGTGTGGTAGTCTGCAGAGCGGCTAAAAAGTTCGTGAAGGTCTGCTTTTAGTTCGTTAATGATCGATTGTGCTTGGGGGTTGTCAGCGCGTTCCATGTCGATTTTCGTTTAGAGAATCGCTGTTTTCTGTTGCTTGATGAGTTCCAGAATTTCTGAGCGAGAGAGGCCTGAGTATTCCATTGTTTCGCTGCACGCTTGACACCAGTGTTATATTCCGTATTTAGTTACGTGGGCGATGTGAAATCAATGTGGGCGAAATACTGCGTTTGGTTGCAAACAATGGAATTCAGAATCGAAAGAAAAAGAAAGATTTTTATATATTTTATAATCTCTTTAGTGAGGAAAATAAGAACAAGTAAAAAGTTCGTATTTAAGAAGTTGAGGGAAAGGTACCCTTTGACAAGGCGTCGGACGAGAGTTCATTAGCAGCAGCAGTCACATGCTTGTTTCGTCGCCGGGCCAGTGTGTCAGGAGCGAGCGACGTGACCCTTCTGCCTCCGCCGTTGAGTGGCACCCCTTTTGACTTTCCCGTGTTGAAATTATACACGCCTATCGGCTCCAAATGGCAATTTTTTGGAATACGCGGGAGACGGTCCGATTGGCTGATTTAATTCTTTTCATTTTTTTTTTTTTTTCGAGTTTATCCCAAACGGAAGTATCTGCGTCGATGCGTAGACGTGTAGTTTTCATTTCGAGTCGGGGACTCGTGATGGTAACTTCCGTTTATCGAAGCAGGGCAAGATCTCATCTTGTAACATTGTCAATTCTGAAATCTAAAGCTGAGGGCATTTCTGTAAAGATTCCATCAGGCCCTGTTGCTTTATTCCTGTTCATCTTCTCCTGTATTGATTTTACTACAGCTTTTTGTATTTCTGGCCCTTCCATATTTTCAAGTGGAGGTTTTATCTCACATTCTTTTTCTATTGTCAGTGATCCTTCTTTTGATTTTATAGAGCCTGTTGGTTGGCTCAACTTTTGTCCTGTTATTTTATTGTTTTACATACCCGATGTATTTGTATTGCTCATCTTCTCTATTTCTGCACAATTTTCATTGAGCCATTGTTGGTATTTCACCCATTCAAGTTTATTCAAAAAGATAAGTAATTATCCCTGTAGAAAAAAAGGATAATTCAGTAATGCCATGAGAAAAATCGAAACCAAACCTTTGAGATTCAGACCTTTTATGGGTATAACAGAAGAATGAGAAGAAAGGAGAAAAGAAGGTTTACAATAATGGCATTGCAAAAAAATAGTATATTGTGGACTTGTCACAGAAAAGAAACTTCCTGTTAACAGTTCTTTGAGATCTTGTGATTTCTTACCATTGTGGTGATGGTAGTGATGTCTTGGAGTTCAGCTTTCCTGAGGATTGAGATGATATTTCTGCACATGGAGTAGGTACTACAATCCAGGATTCCACAGATCTGTTGGTGAAGTTTTTTTTTGAGAACAGATTATTTTGTACATGCTACTCATTGAAAGCAATGTAAAAAAGAGACAGAAATACTAAAACATGGTGCACAGATTGGGACAAAACAGCTTCATTAAGGGGCCTTCTGAAGGGTTCATTTTCAGCCAATCATAGGAATCCTTGTAACAATGCCAAGGGCCCTGTTCAAAAGGGGAGGGGGGTTACTCCAAAAGGCTCATAATAATTTCAATATTCTCCCGAAAAACAAGATTGCAATATGGATTTAACTTGCTGCATAGTTCAAAAGGTTACAAGGAGGAAACTATGCTCCTACAAGAGGTGAAGAGTTCATTGTTTTGTTTTTTTCAAAAGGGTTCCAAGGATGAAATGCAAAAATTAAAAAAGGAGAAAAGATCTCAAAATGTTTTTGCATTTTACAAAAAAATTCAAAAGAGGAAAGTAATAATAAAATGAGAAGTGTTGTAAAGGCTATTTTCTAATTAAAAATTTTAAAACTTTAAAATGTTCATTTTTCTTTAGTGAACTTAAAGGAGAATATAAGATTTTGCAGAATATAAGATTTTTGTCAAATGTTTAGTATTCTGCAGCATATATATACAGGTTTAAATATGCAAATCGAATTAATTTTAAGTAATTTTTACTTTAGTAGTATACATAAAGATCACTGGGGGAATTTTGTTTGCCTTTGATGCTTTTGGTCATTTTAGGATGTTGTGAAGTTTGGTTAGAAGCATCATAGAATCTGAAACTTGATTAGATACATCTGAATTTGAACTATTAACTCCCCTAATGACAGTTCTAATGTATATAACAGCTTCATTAAATGAATCTGAACAGAGCTGTCACCTCTTTTGACTTTCATAGCACAAACTGCTGTCACCAATAATTAATTCCAAAACACTTCCCAGAATTCAAAATGGTCTAGTTTTAGCAGGATTTTTTTTATAAGAACCACATCATCAACACTGATTTTATTGTTAACATCATGCAAATCTCTACACTGTTCCCTGAAGCTCAATAAATAATCTTGATACCAAAGCTTGTGGAATTTAGCTAACATAGTGGCATGAGTTTCAGTAGATTTGATTACATTATATCTTGAAGGAGGTCAAATTTCCAAACATTCCAATCATCTGTTTTCAATATGAGTTCTGTATTAACATTAGGACAAAGAAAACAATTTGTAGTTATTATTTCGAGGTTTGAGGCTGTAGAACATCTAAGTAAGAGGTCTTGAGTTCATGGTATTCTGAATATTAGATATCACAGTGAGAAGATCAAAATATTTGATTTGGGAATGTCCAATTGTTTTTTACAAACAGGATTTAATAATTCTCATCATGTGTCCCGATGTACTCCCAACCCATGTGGTGTATAAGGGTATTTTGATGTGTTTTATGTTGTACACTTGAAAAGTGTTCATTGAATTCACTGGAAGTGAAAACTTCCTCTATGAGATTACAACCAGCAATGAAAGATCTGGCATAAATATGATATGGGATACTATGTATATTTGTAAAACTAACTAAAATCAGAATAAATGAGTGAGTGCTCATGTCTTTAACTAATTCTATATGTACTGCCCTAATATTAAGACAAGTAAATATA